ACGTATCAGAGGGTGTATCCTAAACCATTCGATACGTTGATATGTATCCTACGTATGATACGTATCCATTCATATCCTTAAAAATATCGATAAATCGATACGACTTTATTAATTTGGGTCAAATGTCCAAAAAAAATTCAGGTCGAAACCGGGTCACCCAACCCGATTCACTAAAACTTGTCTAAATTTACTATTTTGCATGGAGAAGTAAAGAGGAATATGTATTGCCCATTTTACATGATAATAATAATATAAGTGGAGATATAGATATTGACATTGATCTGGAATTTTGTGATTAATTTGATTATGTAATACTGTAATTTAAAGTCAATAATGCCACAAAATTCTTTAATTAATTGGGGATTATATTAATTTAGAAAATTTTGATTATTTATTAATTTTTTTAAAGAAAAACGTATCTACGATACGATACGATACGCGATATACGATTCAAAAAATTAGGTTTTCGATACATGATATGATACACGATTTGATAACCATGCACTAGATGACTACCACTTAATATACTCGCTTGCTCGACATTGAGGGTGACAAAACTTATGGTAGCATTTTAATATTAAAAGGAAAAAAATAGGTTTTTTTTTTCAACCTAAATACGAATATTTAATTAATTGTAATTCCTAATCTCACTCATGGATGGATCTATGTATATGTGAGTGGGCAGTGACCCCACTCAAAAGAAAATTATTAATTTTATTACTTTTCTCTCTTGATATAATTTACTTTGCAAACTAACCGACATATAAAATATAACCATTTTTTTTCTATTTTTCATAACAAATAAATTTTTGTTTGTCAAATAGATTAGTATGTATTATCAAGTATTTTTGTATACTTTATTAAAGAATTCAATTAAAATGTAAATAAAAAATTCTTGTCTCCTAATATATTTTTATGACAAAATTTTATATAAATTCTTTATAATCGTGTCAAATGAAAAGATAATTTATTGGAATAGATCTTTTTTTTTTTTTCTTTTCGTAATTATAATAAAAATACTGAATAAAATTTACTTCGAAAGCGGAGAGGTGAAATTTTCAATGAAATAGGTTTGATTATAGGCAGGGGTTATTCTTGCAGAAGATGATTAATAAGAGTAGATTGGGAAAGTGGATTTTACCCAAAAAAGAAAGAAGAAGAAAGCGTGTTAGGGTTAATGATGAAGAGATCTGAGTGATAGATAAGTGATATGAAGAATTAGGAAGCAAATGGTTTTGGTGTCTCTCCACAACACCTGCAATTATATCTTTCAACCCTGTCAATCCCATCATTAAATTTCACTTTGTTCTCTAATTTAACTTATATTTTTCTAAGGCATTATAATTATTTATATCCTTTCCCAACCATGTTAATTTTAATTTCTATCTTTTCCTTTTTTGTTCAAAATGCATAACATGGATGCGAACATTTGCGAGTGCCTTCATGTACGTATGAATCTCTATATTGTTATATTGTTAGCCAATAAAATAGGGTTCATTATATTTTTGGTAAATAATTATATGAATCGATAATAATTATTAATAAAATAATTGTGGATTGATTTAGAGATATTGTTTATTTTAATTTTGAGAGTTTTACAAGTAGTTAGTGATTGATACTAATATGTATTTCAAATATTATTAACACCAAAGCTTTTAAATACAGTTTATTAACAATTATATATTAAAATTCTCTAATTTATTTTCAAAATCCAAAAAAAAAAATGCAGATTATGACTAATACAAATTCCTAAATTAATAAATATAAATGAACCACAAAAAAAAAAAAAAAAAAAAAAAAAAAAAAAAAAAAGAACTTATTTCTGAAAAGTACTTAGAATATGTCATAAAGCTCATAAAAACTTTATATCATTTTTATATTAGGTATATTGAATTAATTTGGGTTATAGATCTAGTTTTAAAATTTTTGATTTGAAACTGTGTTTGAAATAGGGTGGTGAGAATAAGTTTTGAGGGTGATCTCATTAATTTTTTGGATTTGAACATTGGGCCACATATCATATTTGTATCTGACCTTGAAATATTTAATAGGTTTCGAGGCTAGTCGAGGTGCGGACAAGCTGGTCCAAACACCTAATCATACAAAATTTAAAAAAAAAAAAAGTTTTAAGGGTGATTGAAAGCTTACCCTCTAACTTTTGCTTAAGACTTAACAAAACCATGAACATAACAAGCTTGAAATTTGATGTTAGGTATGACATATGATTAGGCAATGCATCGTGTCATTAGATTTTGATTAGTTTTTTATTGGCATTTGATTTCTTTTAATGGTAACTAATTAAAGCTTAATATATTTTCTACAAAAAAAAAAAAAAAAAAAAAATTACTATAGTGACTCTTTAAAAGAATAGTATATCTTAATTGGATTATTATGAATCATGCCTTGTGTTTAATTTTAAACTAAAATAGAAAATTAATTTAAAGGAATGTAAAAGAGAGATAGTCATTTCACTAGTAAAAAAGATTTGAGGATAGATAATTAATGAGTAAAAATAACGAAAAAGGAGATGAGAGTGAGTCACCACCTAAAAGAAGCGTAAAGTTTCGTATATAATTAAGGATATTTTAGGTATATTATTTTTTATTTAAACAAAATATTTTAATTTAAAGATTAATAAATATATTAACTTTACTTTGCACAAAAAAATGATAAACATTTATTACTTTTATTTTAAAAACCTTAACATATTCTTAACATATAATAAGATAACCTATGGTTAATATATATTAATTATGTACTTAAGTTTATTACCATTAAGATATGTTGGAAACTAATATAAGATAACCTGTGGTTACTTTGGAGTTCTAACCTTTACTTGTGCATGCATTTCATAAACGAAATAGAGATTCTTTTTATTTAAAGTGAGGAGATTAAGTGGGATCTATATTCTATACCCAACCACTTTTATTTAATTAGTAGGAAAGGAATTGAGTAGTAACAATGTTCAATCAAATACAATCCTTGTTTTATTTTAAGATGTACTTAAAAAACATCTTAAATAAACTAAAAGTGTTTTAAATTGAAATACATAAATATATATACTTTTGAGTAAAAGATGTTCCTCAAAGTACATTAATGATTATAAATTAAAGAACTTTCTAAATAACTTCATTTTTAGTCAATAACAAGTAGTTGAAGTTATAATTGAATCATTTGATTATTATTGTATTTTGTATTGATTTATCTAAAGGCCAAGTTTTTTTTTTTTTTTTTTTAAATTTAAAAGCTTTTTAAATTTAAAAAAAAAAAAAGTTGTTTGGTTGAAATTTAAGAATAATTTATGGGTGATCAGAAGAGTTATTTACATCCAAGGGAAGAAATCTAATATAAAGTGCTTCTATTTTAGCTTTCAAATCTTAATAGTAATTCAATTTTGAAATGGTATAAATTACTTTAAATGTGGAAAATGATTTATACTACTTAAAAATCCCACTAAATATAACTAAACAAACATAAAATCTTTTGATAGAAGCTTTAAGTTTATAAGTTATATTTGGATGAAACCCTACCAAATGATCTTTTACTCCATCTCTTCTCTTAATCAAAACAATTAATGATAAAAATAATTAATTGAATGCTAACAATAGGAAGTGTAATTAAAAATTGAATCTTTTTAATGGTACACAAGCTATAATTGCACTATATATATAATTAAAAATATTCACTTTTTCTACTCAAAATAAAATAGTATGTCTATTAGTGGGAAGTTAAGAAAAAGAAAAAGAAAAAACAATCTTAGAACATCTAAATTAATTACAATTACCATTGTAATTTAAGCATTATTCAAACGTAAGTCCCAAAGAAGAATCTCTTACACCAAAGCATTAGGGAGATTAATGAAATTTGTCCATATATACATTGTATTAAAGAAGGACACGAATGTGCCAACGTTCATAGTTAAGAAAAATAATATTTAATATTTCAAAATAAACTCTTCCGACCATAATCACTAGAAACATATAATTTTTATAAATGGTTTGTAGTTTGTGTTTAATTTTATGTTAAAATTCAAATTTAAAAGAAGTCAACAAGAAAAATTTAAGGAGGAAGGAAGATAATTATATACCCATAGTTTATATAAATAAATTATAACACAAGGACTTAGATATAAATGAAAAAATAGTTGATCAACAAGCACAATATTTAATAGAATAATAGGACATTATACATAGAAATGTATGTAATGGGTGGGAGAAGTGACTCCAAAACAGAATAACAGAATCTAAAACAAGAAAATAATGTGAAGGACAGATGGTGGGGTTAATGTTTAAGAGTGCTTGCATTAGTTTGAGTTTTCCATTGAAAAAGCAAACGGGGGGTTTCACAAAGAGACAAAAGGATTCTGGTTTTTCGCAACCCCCGAGAGAAGAGAGAGATGAAAACATCAATACCAACAACAAAGCAACCATTAACATATATAAATATTATATATATATATATAAAATAAGAGAGACACCCACCACCCACACGAGTGGTTCTCGAGTTGCATGCACAGACTTTTTGTTAATTCAAAGAGACAGAAAAATCAGTCTCAAAATAACCACCCTGACCTCATTCTCGTTTTATTTACATAGACTCATAGAGATTAGAGTGTGTGATTTTAGAAAAAAAGAAAGAAAGAATCGTGTGGGTTCTTCTCTTCTTTTTGGTTGTTTTGCTTACCTTTCTCTTTCAACATTCAAACTATTTCTTGTTCCCCGTCTTTTGAACGTTCTTCTACTTCCTCTTGTTCTTGTTATAACTCTTCCTCTCTTTGCCGCACTCCAATTTCATTTTCATTTTCTCTCTTACTTTCTTGGGTTATATAACTAGAAAAATGCAACTTCTCCTTCTCTCTTCTCTACTAGTCTCTCTTCTTTACTAACCTCTCTTCAAAATCTTGCTTGTTTACTCTTTCTGACATTGTCTTAGCTCCTTCTTCTTTAATCCCATTTCCAGTTTTTTTTTTTCTTTTTCTTTCCATTGTGTTATTACTCACAATGAGTTTTCAACACTTGATGAGTGATGTTCATGGCTTCAGTGTAATTCATCAAGACATGAACTTTGTTCCTCCTCCACCTCCACCTCCTCCTCCTCAACTCTCTCTGTCTAACTCTTTTGCAGTTGTGGGTCATCATCCCATGGGGAGAGAGAGTAATAATCCTGCAGTAATGGGGCTTCAGATTTTGAACCCTTCTACTTTTAAGCCAGTGGAGAACAGGGGAGCTAAGAGAACAGTTGAAGAAAGAGATGGGTTTTTTGGGAGTGAAAAAAAGGGGCTTTCTTTGAACTTGGGTGAAGAAACAGAAGAAGTTAAGACCTCTGTTTCTGTCAAAACTAAGCACACTAAACTTTGTGCTAGAGGTCATTGGAGACCAGCTGAAGATGCTAAACTCAAAGAGCTTGTTGCCCAATATGGCCCTCAAAACTGGAACTTAATTGCTGAGAATCTTGAAGGAAGATCAGGTAATTCAACTCATAATATTTGATATTAAGATAAAAAAAAAGGGGTCCATTGCACAAGGACTATTGTTTATGACAATGTCTCCAAAGAATATATTTTGAACAAAAGAAAAAAGTGCTTTTGTATTAAAGTAAAGAAATTTGATTGATTTGTTGGTGATGTTCAGGGAAGAGTTGCAGATTGAGATGGTTCAATCAGCTAGATCCAAGAATCAACAGGAGGGCATTCAATGAGGAAGAAGAAGAGAGGCTGTTAGCTGCTCATAGATTGTATGGAAACAAATGGGCGTTAATTGCTAGATTGTTTCCAGGGAGAACTGATAATGCTGTGAAGAATCATTGGCATGTGATAATGGCTAGAAAACTCAGAGAACAATCAAGCATTTATAGAAGGAGAAAGCCAAGTTCTGCCTCTCAAACTGGACTTGAAAATATGATTATCCACAACAATGCCGCCAGTGAATCAACCATCTCAAGCAATGAATCCGCCTCAACCATCACTGATCTCTCTCTTACTCCCTCTTCAGCTAAACCTTCACCTGCAATTTTCACTAGGTTCTCACTGATGGGTATGTTTTATTTTATTTTATTTTTTTTTCTATTTGTTTTTGATAGTTTTGTTTTGTTGATTTTTAAATGTTTTTCCTTTTTTTTTTTTTTTTTAATGGGGTTTTTGATTGATAAAGGTTCATCTGGAGAAAAGGAGATAACAAAGGGAAGTATTGGAGATGTTGACAAATTTTATGGATATTACAAAGCAGGTAATATGGAAGTGGTTATGGGAATGGACCAATCTGGGCATTCATCAGATTCAAATTCAGAAGTTTCAGCAACAGACTCAGTAACCAACACCGACACTAATCTCTCTCTCTCAGGGCAAAATACTGAGAATACTTATCAGAAGAAGATCAGCGTGCCCTTCATTGATTTTCTTGGAGTAGGAGCTTCTTAGAAATTTTGAAAAAAAGAAAAAAAAGATTACAACTTCGTTGAAATTATCAGCCAGTGAAAGAGAAGCACATTGACATTGGTCTCCACTCCAATGCCAAAAATCTAGAGTCTTGCACTTGCAGTAGGTGTCATTTCTGCAGTCTTGAATGTACAGTTAAGTTCCATAAATGGAAAATGAGAAAAAATGAGTAAAAAAATAGGAGAAGAAGAGAGAGAGAGAGAGAGAGAGAGAGAGAGAGTTATGAGTAATTATAAGTTTAAGTTATTATAATATAATAATAATATTATGAGACTTGTAGTTGTGGTTTTGTTATTCTCTAAAAATTGAATGGCTTTTGTGGGATTGTGAATTTTTGATTGTGAAGAACAAAGGCAAATACTGTTTAGTGAGTGATGAATGAAGCTGCCTAACTTTCATGACTTTTCAATGCTGTTTGGTACACTTTTGTTGACCATATTATATGTCTAATTATATTTATAAGAACAGCCCCACCTGAACCTGATAGCATATATTTTAGTGGGGTCTACAAAATATTTGCATGAGCGTTCAAATAGTACCACATCGCATGTGTGGTACTAACTCGATGTCACTAGTTGGTTACATCAATACTTAAACAACCCCACTTTGTTTTTGTTTTAACCTATATTTTATAATTAATAATTTTTTACATATGTACATAAAAAGATATACATTCTATATTCATCAAATATAATAACATTATGGTCCATATGCTTCTCACTTAATCGATTCATTGCAGAACTAGTGAGATTACGTATACAAATTTGACAGGGACCTTAAGAATAAATGTTATGTTTCCATAACTATATATATATATGATGTATTATGTTAGGATCTCACTGTTATTAAGTGTGAGATTTTTTTTTTTTTTTAATGATAGAGAGTGTCTGAGTCGGCTTGTGTATATTTCAACTAATCTCCTAAAATCAAGAGCTCTAGGGTGAGTTATCTTCTTCTAGTTAGTTGCTTATTAATCTCTCTAGCTATCTTCTTCTTACAAGGTGGTTTGAAGGGTAAGTTCTACCCTATGGCTTTGTATGGGGGCGTTTGGTTGGCGGTAATGTGAGATAATGGGGGTTATATTATCTTATATTACTTGATTACCATGTTTGGTTGTCAAGTAATATAAGATGACGATAATCATCAAATACCAATAGTAGTTACTATTGGTAATATTGGAGGTAATCTGATTACCTCTATTTTCTTAGGTATTCTAAGATTACCAAGATTATATTTTTTTGTTACAATTTTATCCTTTATTAATAAAAGTTTTGGATAATAATGCCCTCATTTTAAAATAAATTTACATTAATATCCTATTTCAATTTTACCCTTGTTTAATTAAAATTTTGGACAATAATGTCCTTATATTTAAAACAATTTACAGACCACCACTTCCATCGAGTCACCACCGCCGACAGCGGGCCAACCACCACTGACCGCCGCCGAAAATTCGTCGGAGTCCCTAAAAAAGAACGAGATTCGGTGGGAGGCTCCGGGAGGCTTCGATATGGCCGTTTTTGGCAATCGAAAACGGCCATATTAGGCTAGATCTGGCCAGAAATGACCAGATCGATGGATCTGACCGTTAATGGCCAGAATAGATCTGGCCATTTCCGGCCACATTTGGCCTGATATGGCCATTAATATGGTCAGAAATGGCCATATTGGAGCCTCTTGGTCACGGCAAGCTACTGACGGGGACTTTCGAAGACTTTCGGCGGTGGTTTGCGGTGGCGACAGTGGCGGCAGAAGGTGGGGGTGATTTCATAATAAATTAAAGTTTTATATAAGCGGGGGGTGTTTTAACTAAATCTGAAATATTGGGGTTTAAAAGAAATTATTCAAAAATTAATAATAAAAATAATATTATATTAATATTTGAAAGGGGGACAATTTAAATAATATACTCATCAATTTATTCTCCCTAACCAAACATATTAATATAACATATCCACCAACTAACCAAATACATTTTTCTAAAGATTTCCAGTAATCTTCTAAGGTAATTTATCTTTCCAGTAATCCAACATTCCTAGTAATCTAACATTCCTGAACCAAACCCCACCTTAATAGTAGAAGCGTGTGGAGTTTTGGAAGCGTGGTCCCTCATAATAAATGGGGTGACACTTGGCTGAGTAAGGGGTCATTGTGGACATCAACTTTAGAAAGCGTGTTGGAATATTAGGATCTCACATCTGGCTGAGTAAGGGGTCATTGTGGACATCAACTTTAGAAAGCGTGTTGGAATATTAGGATCTCACATCAACGAAGTATTTTACAATTATGAGTCATGAAATAGTAATGAATTTAGTTATGCTTTATTCTTTAAGATATATAAGGTGTTAATTTGAAAATGAAATAGTACATTATCTTCTACAAACTAAAACGTGAATTGCTCTTTGCTCAAAGTCATGGTTACTGTATACGTAGTTGGCTTTAAAGTAATTGTTATGTCAAAAAGTTACCAACAAAAAAGTAGCTAACTCACCAATCTTCACATAAAGAGAACAATATTAAAAGCCAAAGTGAACAGGTTGATGAAAAGCCTCTTCTAAAAGTAAGAGAAAAGTGGAAAGTTAATAAATTATAACTAACCTTTAATCAACAATAAAAATAAACTATTCTTGCGCGGATTCACCGATCAATTCATTCAAATTATCACTTAACAGATCTTTCCTACTTTTGCTTCATTCTATGAATACCTAATACAATATTATAAACTTATAATACTATTAAGAGCTAAGAATTATTTCCTCAATAATAGTCAACATGCAATCTTAAAATTACTAAAGAAATAAAGAATTTGTTGTAGATGTCTACGGACCAAAAGTAACAGAAGTTCTTTAATATTGTGATTAGAAATGCATATGCGAAAGATGGCCCATTTGAAATCAATACAGGTCTAACTTATTTCACGTTTGGACTTCTCAAGCCCATTTGAAATATTAGATGTAAACAAGCTTCTACAACTCCTGAATACATTTTCAGAGTGCAGTCGAATAATTTAAAATATGATTATGATATTAAAAGTTCTTACTGAAATTTAAAGATCAAGTGAATGACATAAAAGGCTAGGATTTAGGAATATTGTACTAATTTTAAATAGCATTAAAATTTTGTTTTAGCCAAAATTGAGTAATTATTTTGACATGAAGCTTTAGCGGTTTCAACTTTCAAAAGTACTGATGAAAGAGGTCAGATTGTTAAAAATAGAGAACGGTTAATCTATAATAACAGTTTTCTTTAATTCTTTCTTTTTTCAAGAAATATATAGTCTGTGGATCTCTTGTTCATATGATAACAAGATCAATCTGTACAAGATTAAACTTTAAAGAAAAACAAAGAAAAGAAAAGAAAGAGAAACACCCATATTTCATATCACAAAATTATAGACAATGTTGGAAATAAACAAGTAATCACAGAGATTATAATAAAATAATTCCCGAGATTTTATGAACATGTCTTAATTGCAATCATATTATATGTATATAAATATAACAATTGCAATAAAAAATCACACAGCATAAATACCTCTTGCAGACCCAAGTTGTAGTATAATTTTGCAGAGATTGAAACTTCCAAACCAAATCCTTGAATTGTAGTAAAAACAATTTTTTCTTAAAAACTCTTTCATGTGCAAATAACAAATATATATATATATATATATATATATTATCTAATATATATATATAGTATATATATAGATATATATTTATGAGTATTATTATTATTATTATTATTTGTGTGTGTGTGTGTGCAACTACCACTCCGATAGTTACCACTTTCTTCACAGTTGAGTCCCATCATGGATGTACCATCTGAGGCGTTTAACATCTCCGACTCACACACGATGAGATTATCTCTTTTCTATACTTCTACAAGATTTATACTTTAGTAAATATGCCATGTGACTATGCATACATCGAGAACACTTTAGCTATACATCTATTAAGAATATATAACTTCTCGAATAACGTAACTTGTGTGTATATTGTATGCGGCACCCTATATCACTTATCACATTTTATCTCTAACGATCTCATTTATATATTTAAACTTTATTGTATTCATAATTATGCTTTGTCTTTACATTAAAAGAAAACATAATTAGTCGACCTATGATTACACATAAAATAATAATGTGATAATACAAAAAAAAAAGGTGATCTTCCTCCTTTCTCGATTCTCGTAACTTTCATTTAATTTGCTATCCAGAAATGTCCTAGTAGATTGAATCATTCTTAATCTTTTGGTGACATTCTAAGATAACAATAATTAAATCAAGGTTTTGAGAAATGGACTAGAGTAATAAGGGTACCCTTTGGACTTGATTCTTATAATTTCAAGGTCTTACACAATGTTAAAGTTGAGATCTTTACTTTCATTACTCTCGTGGTCAAGCTTTTTCACATGCGGTATAATCACATGTTACGACATTTCCTCTTTCCTATGGAGTACATGTATTTTACCTCTTATAAATGTCGTACAGATTTTAGTTAGACATATCTAATGTCTAACTTGAGTCCATTTTCATACTTTTCAATTTATCAAAACTCTAATATGGCAATAAGACAGGCAAAATAATAAATTTTGATAATTTATCATTTATGTCATACTTATGACATTATTTTTATCCTATTTTAGGCTACTTTAAATATTTTAAGCTTGACCTCTATTATCACCTAGATAATAAGCTTAAAATTGTCTTATATATGTTCCCACAAAGTAATGAAGGCAATTGTCTGTGTGAGAAGACCAATCTTATAACTATTTGACACACTTTTCCAGAGAAAATGTATATATATTTACATAACAAATATATATACTCACTCATGTATGTTTCATAATAAATGAAATTGAGCATTGACAATATTGTTAATTAATATTAATAAGATAAGTGTGAACGTTGTTGGGAAATCTCAATTTATGAGTACATTTAACATCTACATAAACCTAGTGATCTAACATGCCTATTAAATGTATCTATTGGTGTAGGCTTTGTAAATTGATCCACAACCATGTCATGCTTAGATATGTACTTCATGTTCAGCTCTTTTCGTGTCACCAAATCTCGTACAAAGTTGTATTTAATATCTATGTGTCTTGTTTTACCATGATATTTGAGATCCTTTATGTATGTTATTACTGCTTGACTGTCACAGTTTAGTCTCACTGGTTCAATAGTAACATCAATCGTTCTCAAATGATTCATGAACCGTCTCAACCAAATGACTTCTTGTACTGCAGCTAACTCAGCCTCCATTATAGATAAGGCTATACATGGTTGTTTCTTCCTATTCTAGGATATAGCCTCGCCATTTAGTAAGAAAACAAATCCAGAGGTAGATTTTCTTTCATCTAAATCCCCTCTCCAATCAACATCGGTGTAG